TTTCGGTCCGGTCCCAAGCGGTTTTTTTTACCTCAAATCTATGCCTGAAGATTGGATTGGATTGTTTTCTATTCGGTCCCGGTTCGGTCTCGGTCCGGGTTATACGGTTCGGTTTTGGGTAAAACCAAAAAGCCCGGACCAAATAGCCAGCCTTAATTCCAACTCCTCTACACATAATCACATAATTGAGTGCAAAAGTTCTTCACCAGGATCTATTAGCTTCACAAGTGATGGGCTTAAAAAGCTTAAGTTTGTTCTTCAACAACCAGACAACATGAGTCCTTCTCCACCACTCTCTCTTTCCATCAAACATGCTGCCTATTCTATCTCACAATAGCTACCTCCATTTCCCAACTATGATGGTAAATATGTACTATCATCTTACGTGCAACATGATTTGATGGCATTAGCTCAGATATGGATATTGGATACTGGAGCTTCAGACCATATTGCTTGTTCTCTATCTTAATTTTGGATGCTAAGCTAGTAACCAATCAGTTTGTTCACTTGCCTAATGGGAATAGGATTCTAGTGAGTCATATAGGCAGAGTCGGAACCCCAACTGGTTTATTCTTACAAAATGTCTTGCTTATCCCTAGTTTCACTTTTAATTTAATCTCAGTAAGAAAGATTACACATGACCTTCCCTTTTCTTTGTCATTTGAATCTGACTCTTGTCATATTCAGGACCTGACAACCTAGACACATATTGGTTTAGCAAGACAAATTAGAGGCCTCTATCATCTCATTTCCTTGCCAAGCTCACCTTCAGCCACTCCACCTCACCAAGTAGCAGCCACCTACAACTTTGAACCACACTACTTTGATTTATGGCATTGGAGACTAGGCCATCCTAATAGAGATAGAGAGAAACAAGTTATTGGTTGTAATAAGTTTACAGTTCACCATTGTCCGACTTGTCATTTTGCTAAACAAAGGAAACTTACTTTCTGGATAGTGATAGTAGAGATATGTCTCTTTTTGATTTAGTTCATGTAAACATTTGGGGACCTCTTGCTGTAAAGTCTCATGATGGCTACTCTTACTTTCTTACATTGGTGGATGATTACTCTATGAGTGTTTGGACCTTTTTAATGAAATACAAGTCTGAAGCTAGTGATCTTTTGAAGTCCTTTTGTGTTATGGTTCATAAACAATTTGAGAAAGCAGTCAAAGTAATTAGAAGTGACCAGGGAAATGAATTCCACATGCTTGATTTCTATTCTACTCATGGGATCATGCATCAAACCTCATGTGTTGAGACTCCTGAGCAGAATGCTCGTGTTGAGAGAAGCATCAACACATTCTCAATGTGGCTCAAGCTCTTCGATTTCAATCAGGTCTCCCTCTCTAGTTTCGGAGTGACTGCATACTCCATGTTATTCACCTCATCAATAGGTTACCATCCCAGTCACTAACAATTTTTCATCCTTTGAACTGTTGTACAAAAAGCCTCAAGACTTGTCTCATTTGAAGGCATTTGGCAGTTTATGTTATGTCTCTACCTTACTCGGAGATAGAACCATATTCACCTCTAGAGCTCGATAGTGTTTTTTCCTTGGTTTCCCTTCTAGAATCAAAGGATATAAGCTCTTTGATCTCAACACACACCATTTTTTTTTTGTCTCCAGACATGTCATCTTCCATGAGCACATTCTACCTTTTCATTATTCTTATTCCCCTTTACCAGATTCTATACCTTCTATTCTTAGTCCTATGGAAGTTGTTTTCCCTAGACTTCTTCTCACCTTCCTTCATCATCATCTTATCCACCATAGAATGTGGTTCCATCCACCTTACCTTCATCACAATCATCTTCTCCTTCTACTTCTTATGCACCTCCTTCCACTTCTCTTCCTTGTCCTGACACACTGTCTGAGCCCCTTACTGATTTCTTTGAGGTTTCTGGACCACATTCTGAGGGGGAGCCTGATGAGTTGGTTGAGCAAGCTGATGTTGATTAAGGACCAGACTCAGTGTTGAGAAAATCTGACAAGTTAAATACCATTCCTGTTTGGCACAAGGATTATAAAGTGGGAGCTGTGCATAGGTATGCTATGGAGAATTATGTCTCATATGACAATTTGCCACCAACACACAAAACATATGTACTGAATGTGATGATAGTTGTGGAACCTAGGACTTATGATGAAGCCTATCTAGAATTTGTTGGAGAGAAGCTATGAAGGAAGAAAGAGATGCACTGGAAGCTAACCAGACTTGGGAACCAACCTTTCTCCCTCCAGGGAAAAGAGCAATAGGGTGCAAATGGGTGTATAAAATCAAACTTAGAGCAGATGGCAACATTGAAAGGCACAAAGCAGGGTTGTAGCTAAGGGGTTTACTCAGATTTATGGCACATACTTCCTAGATACCTTCTCCCCAGTAGCCAAGATAAACTCAGTCAAAGTTTTGTCGGCAGTGACAGCAGCAAATAATTGGCACATACATCAGATGGATCTGTCAAATGCATATCTCCATGGAATATTGCTTGAAGAAGTGTACGTGAAACCTCCTCCAGGTATGGAACTGCCAGATAAAAGAATGGTTCTCAAACTGAAGAAATCACTATATGGTTTAAAAAAGCCAGTAGACACTGATTTGCTAAACTGGAAGGTTCTTTACTTAACCATGGCTTCTCCCAAGCAACTTCTAATTATTCTATGTTTGTTAAAAGGACACAAGGCATGGTTCTGGTTGTCTTGGTCTATGTAGATGATATGTTGATTGCAGGGAGTTCCTTAGGGGACATAAAGCAATTGAAGTTGTTCCTTGGAAGAGAGTTCAAAATCAAGGATCTGGAAATTTTAAAGTACTTCCTTGGACTGGAATTTTATAGGGATCATAAGGACATACATGTTAATCAGAGGAAGTATAGCATATAATTGCTAGCAGACAAGGGTTATATGGATGCTAAGGATTGCCTAGCACCTATTGATTACAAAGTGAAGTCAACAACTAAGCAGGGGAGCCTTTGGCCAATCTAGAAGTGTACAAGAGATTGATTGGAATGCTACATTATCTTGCAATAACCATGCCTGATTTGACCTTCTTTGTGCAACAATTACGCCAATTTCAGAAATACCCTTATAGTGAACACCTTTCCGCAACCTACAGAATTCTCAGGTATTTGAAGCATGCTCCTGGCGAAGGTTAATGTTCCAAGCAAGTTCCAATTTGAAGTTATCTGGTTTCTCATATTCAGACTGGGCAAGTGGTCCAGATACAAGGAAGTCTGTGACAGGGTATTGTACTCTATTGGGGGAGAGCTTGATCACTTGGAAATCAAAAAAGCAGATCACAATATCCAGATCATTCTCAGAGGCAGAATATAGAGCCCTTTCTCATTTGGTATGTGAATTATAGTGGTTAATGAACTAGTTGGCAGAAATGGATGTCAAAGTTGAACTCCATATTCAGGTATACTGTGACAATCACTTAGCAATGCACATAGCTGAGAATCCAGTCTTCCACGAGAGGACAAAACATATTGAAATAGATTGTCACATTACAAGAGAAAGATTGAAGTCAGGAATGATTAAATTGAGTCATGTTAGAACAAATGATCAACTTGCATATATGTTTACAAAAGGGATGACTCGTTACAGGTTGAAGTTTTTGCTTGACAAGTTGGGAGTTGTTGATATGCACTCACCAACTTGTGGGGGAGTAACAGACCAGACTGATGGATGCAGCAGCAGAGAAGAAGAAGATGCAAAGTTCGCAGTTGCTGATGAAGCCCAGAAGCAGAGGAAATGAAACGACAACGTAGTGAAGAGTGGTGACATAGTCATTAGTAAGAAAGGATTGAGTGAGAGCCACATGTCGGCTATTTATAGTTCCATTTTGAATTTACCGTTACTTTTCATTTTTATTGTAGATAAATTCAGAGTTTACATAGTATAAAAGGAAACAGAAGAGCTAGCAGCTCTCACTAAGATTGAACGCCCATTTCATCTCCTTTCAACTGCTTAACCTAGCAACTGCTTCTACTATATTCTTAGGCTTCTCCGGCGTAGATCTTATTAGGGTTATCAGTTTGGCTGAGAAAGTACGGCAAGGCGGGATTAGTTTCATAGTCGTCGCTGCCCTCATCATGTACAGAACCGGGCACCAACGAGGTGGAAACAAAGCTCATATTTTCTACAATGAAAGTCACAGCTCTAACACCATAAAGAAAATGATATGCGAAAACAATAGAGAACTCGTTGATTTACATGATATCCATGTTCAATATCAACGTGACTAATCCACATAAAGCTACCACTCTCAGTTTTGGGTTTCACTATCTTGATGATTAATCACCAAGACTTACAAGCAAACAACAACAGTAAGAGTCCTATATATGCTTATCGAACCCCTCCACGGTCTACCAGGGTTTGGCCAAGCATTAGTGACCAATTACAAACTTGAATACCAACTAAGGTAAACAAACAAGTAAGTCCAACTATGCTAATGCCCCACGAGACTAGGGGTGTCGTCCGACCCAGCTCTGATCGCACTAAAATCATGAGAAGCGCAGTCTAATAGTAAAAGACTTCCTAGGAATAAGGTCCGATTCATCATTGTATTCAATCCGGTTTGGTTCGATACATGTCAATTCAATTCATTTTTATTCAATACTTATAAAATTCATTCATTGAATAAAATACCACACTACATCATATTCGATTCGGTATAATCCAATCCAAACATGAAACATCAATTTGATTATATAAAATCCAGTACCGAGAGTCCCGTACCGAGCTAACCATTCCACACCACAATACTTAAAGTCATCAAAATGGTGGAATCGTAACTGATAAATGAGCATTGTTAATTGAAGAAAAATACAGAAGAACCAAAAGGATAACAAATACCTTTTTGTCGTGATTAGTCATCAACAATTGTGTTCTCTCAAGGAGCATATTCTTTCCTCCATTCATCGCCCGCTTCTTAAACTCCTACTGAAGAACTAATTCACCTCACTTACAAACTCAGCTCGGATCAATACCGCCGCCATGATCGCCGCCACCAATGTCTTCCTCTTCCATCTAACCCTCTCCGTCCTCTACATCGCCTCCACCTTCCCGAAACCCGACCCGCCCATCAAAATCACGAACCTCGTAGTTTACGTCCACAACTACTTCACCGGCGCCGACGCCTCCTCAATCACCGTCGCCGGCAAACAGAACCCTACCGCCGATGCTGCCGGCGGCTTCAACATCCTCCAATTCGGGACAATCGCAGTCGTGGACGATCCCGTGACGGAGGGGCCCACGGCAGAGTCTAAGGAAATCGGCAGGGCACAGGGGTCTTACATAAATTCCCAATTCGACGGGAAGGGATTGTACTTGTTCTTTTCGGTGATTTTCACCGGCGGCCAGTACGCCGGGAGCACGCTGGAGATCCAAGGGTCGGATATTTTCGTGAGGAAGGAGAGGGAATTTGGGATTGTTTCAGGGACGGGGTTTTTCAGGTTCGTGGAAGGGTTTGGGATTATGGAGACGGCGTTTATAGATGTGGCTAATCTCAGAGCGGTCCTCAAGCTTAATCTGACTGTAAAACAATTTTAATTAAAGCGAGGCTAACCGTTGGCCACCGTGGTCTAAACTGCCGGCGACCGGAGTCAATATTTCGTTATAAAGTAAAAATATCGCTTTTAAATCCCGTTATTTCGTCCATTCGGAATTTTGTTAGTAAATAATATATGATGCACGGTTAAATCTTTTTCAATCACTCGAGATATTGAGATTAATGGATTCTTAACATAATATCATAGCTTTTTATGATTAAGAGGTTTTCTATTCGAATTTTGATAACTCCTATATATTTCTGTTATGCACGATGTCTGGATCTGAGTAAACTTCAAGCCCATATATAATAATTTTTATTTGATCATCAATTGAATTTATCCCAATAACTCAAGTTGCCTCCTGTATTTTGCCCCAGCAACTGCATTCAATAAAGCCCAACGTAGAGGTTTTACAATGAAGCCCACTCAGCCCAAATACACTCGAAAATGAAATTCCATCGGATAATCCACCAACTGGCTCCGAGGAGTTTCTTCCTCTCCCTCCAATTGACGCCTGTCCGAAACGGAAATGGCGCTGAGCTTCTCCATTAGCGCCACAATTTTCCCTCCAAATCAAGGTTTCTCCTCTGCTTCCTTGCTTCGGCTACTGCTGCTTGCTTCCCTACACCATTCCATGGCGCTTCATCTCTTTCCGCTTCCGTTTCAGAGGAATCGAAGTTCAAGAACAGAAAGACTGCTAAAGGGATCGAGAATGCCAGAAACCTCGTCAAAACATCCAGGGTTCTTTCCCTCGCGACTTCTCCGCACGAGTCGTTGCAAAAGGGAAACTGGGTCAAGCTCATCTGTGGTGCAAGCTTTGAGGTTTCCATAGCTCTTCTGAACTTCTTTTCTCTCAAATACCCACAATCCCTTTCGGTTTTTACTCACAATGGTAGTCATCATTTTTTTTTATACTAGGATGTTGTGGATATCAGGAATCTATCCATGGTTTACACCTTAGCTGGAGGTGAGGAATCTGTTAACGACTTCTCAGCAGGTTTCTAATTCTAGGGTTGATCGTTGATGTGGCAATTGGAATGGTTTTCTCGTTTTCCTCAGTCGATTGCATTGATTGTGCTGCTGATGCTGCGGTGGTGAGTGCTGTTAACGAAGGAATCGACGCTGCGATGGAGGTTGTGGAGCTTCGGAGGCCTTGGGTTATGATAAGTGTCAACGATGACGATGATCTGCATTTTCGTAAAGCTGGTAGGTGCAAAGAGTGTTTCAAAAACTTCCTAACTTAGGTTAAAAGGTTGGGAGACTTGCTCCGAATTTCATTTAGAGTTTGAGAATGAGAAAAGAAGTAACCGAAAATTCCAATTAGGAGAATGTTCAGGTGTTCTATTGCAACCTTCAAGAGGCGCAGAGAGAATTTTGGAGAGATGAAGTTACATAAACAGGTCCAAGTGTTATGCTTGAGTAATAGAAGAACTGTCTGCTCTTGCTTGGAACCCTTTATGGACCTTTGTCATAGGCTCTCAGTGGGCTTTAAAAGCTCCATTCGACAAGTTTGCTTTGAGGTTTTCATTAGTGTGTAACGTGGACGAAGGAATCTGTCCTAACAAGTTCAACACGACTTCTTTAGAGGAGATTCCTTGCTCATCCATCAGTTATTGCAGAGTTTGATCCGGACGATTGTCCGATGGATTGCTCGAGGCCATGCGAGCTTGTGTGTCCTGCAAATGCAATTAAGTTAGATGATCATGGTGGAGTCATAACTGAGCGTTGTTATGGCTGTGGTCGTTGCTTCCCAGTGTGCCCATACGACAAAATCAGTGAGTCGTCTTTTGTTTCCTCTTTCTGGTTCGGTTTGCTGATCATTTCTTCATATGTGTATCTTACGTCCTTGTATACCTGACGACATTGTTTGCACTTGTTTGATTTGAAATAGGAGAGGTCACATATATAAGAGATGTTGCTACTACTTCTGAGCTCTTGAGGCGAAGTGATGTCGATGCCATTGAGATACATACAAGCGGAAGGCAGGATTTGATTCTTCAATTTTGCTTATGGAAGACCAAAAAAAAAAAAAACTATTGTGATGTATGCAATGTGATTAACCTTTGTGATGTCTGTAGGCAAACTGATCCTTTCAAGGAGCTATGGGATGGTTTAAGAAACTCAACTGAATGCATGAAGCTAGTAGCTGTAAGTATTTAATCTGATTGATTTGGTTACAAGGAAAATTTTCGGCAGATTGTGATTTACTGAGTGCATCCTGCATTTGATACCGATTGCCCTGCAGATTAGCTTGCCTTATACCGGCGATTCAACTATGTCTGTAATGAATGAAATGCATTCTATCATGGAGCCTCATCTAAAATGCCTCAACTTATGGCAGGTCTGTTGAAACACTGCATAATTATGTTAGAGATGGCTTCTTTATGCGCATCTCTTACTGTTATAATCTCTATCTTGTATGTCTTATAATGAACAAAGCTGGATGGCCGCCCAATGAGTGGTGATATTGGACGAGGGGCCACAAGGGAGTCGATTGCATTTGCTGTTCGATTGGCTGCTGCTAAAGACAGGCCTCTTGGTAGTTATTTTGTTTTGTTTTTTGGTGGATTGGTTGCTAAAGTCTTAGGGGCGGCATTCGTATAATATATGCATCGAAACGATGGAATGTCTACTACTCATTCCTATCAAATTATATGGATTTTACATTCCATGGATGATTATACACATTCCATGTATCAACATCTTCTGAACCACACGACTCAATGATGACATTGTGATGACAGGTTTCCTTCAATTGGCTGGTGGCACAAATGCTCACACGGCAGATGGATTGAGAAAGGAAGGGCTATTCCAGACAACCTTAGGTACTGGTAGTGTGTCTTTCACTCTTTCCACATTTCCAAGCTTCTCTCTGTTAATTGCATCATGAACTTTTTCAAATGCCTGCCTTTTCTCCTCCCCCCTAGGGAACTCAAACGATGTGAGATCAGTCCTTGCTTCACCTTCCAGCGCTTTCATTGATGGTGTTGCTTATGGTGGGTACGCCCGAAAGGTCGGTTCCATTTCCCTTTTTTCATTGATTCAACGTTTGCCGCATTGAAAAATCTTCCTCTCTTAGCTCTACATATGACTCCAGATTGTAGGAAGAGTGCTGAGCTCCATGCCATCACAGCAGGGTCCCGGCTCCATCGAGGATTATCCCGAGCTTCTGGTGGAAGCACTAGGGCTGGCTCTTGGCTTGGTGGGGACTGTGAAATGTTACCCTCATGTGCACCATTCAAGCTTCAGATAATGGAAGGTATCAAAGTCAGCAGATATGTTCACAACATTTTGAAACGGTTTGTTGGCTAGTCCAAAGGTTGGACTAGGTCAAGTTCAACCTGTTATGGAGCTGTGTTAGCAAAGGAGAGATTTAACTTATAATCCATGTATCAATAACAGTTGGCCTCTCTTCCATAGGTTGGCTCCCACAGGGACCATGCTCTTAGCCAGAAGAAGTTATTTGTGGATGATGTGGAATTGAGAATTGATGAGGTGGAAGTCAGAGGATGGGCCAACTAACCGAGTAACTAAGCTGTTGGAAGAAATGGAGTAGATGGTATGGCCCTCTCATGTATTCGTCAAGTCAAGGTATAGGTATGGTGCCTCTCTCTTCCTCCAGTTATGATGTAAAACCTTACCCAACTATAGAAAACCTAAATGCAAGAAGATGGAGAATAAAGTCGAGGAGCAAGTGACTGGTTCTCGACATTTCTCAAGTAGATCTAGCGTGCTAGTTATTTTGGTTGTAATAGCGGTAAGATTATTGATGTAATTTTCATTAGCACTCCCGTGACTAAGAAGAACGACAAAGTCCACAAATTGTGAATGAGGGCCAGTCTAACTGGTGAGTTGGCACACTTCCTATGGTAAAATCGTGTGTTTGATTCTTTGTGACAAATGGCATTCCTTCTAGTGATGGCAATTTGAACCCACTCCGCATGTATTATCCGACCTGACTTGCGATGGGATGGGTATTACCCAACTCGCAGTAGCGTGGGACGGGGCATGGATATCTACTTTCGAGCCGCAATGCCCGTCCCGTTCATGACCCATTTTATCTCAATTTCTTATGGTATCTATATATATTTCTCCTATTTTGAGTTTTCTTCAACTAGTTAGAGTCTATCTTTCAACTTGTTAGACTCAATTACCCATTATATTATCACTATTTTTCATTCATAAACTGTTTCTCCCTTCGTTTTATCATAAAAAAACAAAATTTATGTGTATTTTTTTTCAAATAACATGTAAGAGTGGGTCGACCGGTCACACCCCGTATCACGCGGGTTTTACTCGCCTCGACCCACAATAGCGTGGAGCGGGACATGAGTACCTACAATAGTGTGTGGTGGTGCATGAGTTTTAAGTTACCCGCCCCTCCACATTGTCATCACTAGTTTCCCCTTTCGTTGTTTCTCCCTCTCTTCCCCTCATTGTTTCAGCCCCTTCTTCCCCATTTTTCCTCTCAAATTGACGACCAATAACATCCTTTCATCAACATAAGTAAAAAATTAAGAACATAACCAGCACAGTTCATTTGTGAATATTTTGTTGTGGGATTCGTTTTTATTTATTTATTTATTGGCATGCTCCTGTGTGGAATCAGTTGTAGACTTGTAGCAAATGAAATAAACGTGAGAGTTAAGGAATTGTCAGGCCACTCACTCATCCAACAGAGAATATATAAAGAGATTGTTAACAGAAGACAGCGAGTATATAAAATAAACATTTTGCGGATGGCCGTTGGCTTTCTTTGAATAATGTCATTTTATTATTGTCAAATACACCCTATTTTCTTCAGATTATCTTCCCGTATGCATTTTTCTCACGCATTGCTTTCATCGGCGGTCGTTAGATGTAGTCGGTGAAGTCCATCATGCTGAACCAGTTTACGAACTCTCCGACGGCTTGCAATACACACGGAGTCAAACCGTCCATCTAAAACTAATTGAGTCAGTCCTGTGCTCCGACTCTTTCGAATAATATTGCAATGCCACCCATTGATATACCAACTTACATAAGTATTGTTTCTACTGCAGGGGACCCATAATTAAAATTGTACTCAGGGAACCCTTGATTGATCTCTTCCAGGCGGTAGTTGGCGACGATCCACAACAGCGTATGGTATGCATATTCACCTCTGTTTACACAGAGAGAGGCAACGGTAATGGATATATAAACCTCCTAATACATATGCCTTTTAACTTCAGATCCTCCTTTTTCACAAACCTATTTATTGACTTCAATGTCTTAATGATAGATGGCTATTATTTTGCTACCTCACATGCCTCTAAGTCATATTTCAACATCAACTATCCAAAATTACACCCATTGTTGAACCCGTAAGAGCAAACTTTTGACCAACTATTACATTCATATTACATGTTGTTTGTGTTCAAACCCATGTCAAATCTTCATCTTGATGTCAGCTCGAGAACAAGTCTTATATTACAAAGGAACTACTCCTATGAAGATGCAAAATACATTGCTCAAACCTGCACAGTTGAAGAGCTGAACTTATTTCAGCAATCTGAAATGAATCTGGTACCCATTTCACCACCCTCTATTTATTTTGCAAAATTATATTGATATATGTCCCCACCATTTTGTTCTTGCTGGTTCGCTCTTATTATTATGGGAATAAATATGCATCATTGAACACGTAGGATTTCAATCTCATGCAGGGAACGCACTACTTTGTTCTTGGTTATATCTCCGATCTCAAAGTCGTGTGGACACCAAATAGAAAGCAGTACATTGTCCACCTGGACATTTCCGATCATTCTGCAAAGTGTCTCGTCTCATTCATATCATGTAATTTCAGAACCATAGGCCATGCCATAATCAAGCCAAACGACGAACCGTATTGGGCAACACACTTCGAAGAGGAGCTCAATTCTATCAAAGGAGAACCATTTAGTTTCATGGTCAAGGCTCATCATGCCTGTTTCGTGGCAACAAATCTCACATACTTCTTATTGCAATGTTTAGATAGAAATCACTTTTACCTACGCACTGTAATATTATTATTAGCTTTTACATTCCAAACACCTTGCTTTTTTCGCAAATTCACGTCTACATTAGATTCTTCCGGCATAACTATAGCAACCCCTTTGCAACGGATTGCAGTGATACAACCCAAAACGTATCCGGCCAAAAACCCGGCCAACGGGCTGGGCCGTGGACTAGTATATAAAGAGATTGTTAACAGAAGACAGCGAGTATATAAAATAAACATTTTGCGGATGGCCGTTGGCTTTCTTTGAATAATGTCATTTTATTATTGTTATTTAATTCAACATCAGCAAACGTTTTTGCAAAACAATGGCCAAAATTTTGGCAATGCGACCGTGACGGCGATATGATTATGGGGCTGGCAATAATGAAATGGATGGAGTAAGCAAACGATTCAGGATTTAAGAACATCACTAATTTTTTTTAATAATGTTAATTTCGTGCATATGTTTTTTTATATAAAAAACTATATGGCAATAGCCATGTAGGGGGCGGGCAGTTGGGGGAGGATTTTAATGAAACAGGTTCACTGTTAAAAGAAAGTGTTAGCACGTAACTAACACTTAAGGGTGTTAGTAACCAAAAGTTTATCAAAAATACAAATAGGTTCACTATTAACGAAATACTTGGGGCCAAGATTTTGTGGTAAGGATTTTGAGATTTGTGGAGTATATTTTGTGGTTTGTATCCTGAATTTTGTGGGGTGGCTGTGGTTTGTGGAGAGGACTCACTGGTTAGCACCTAATTCAAATATCGGTTCGATTTATTTTTTTCCGCGTTAACATTAAGAAAACTCACTGGAATCAATAACTGGACTACATTAGATTCAATTAGATTTGAACTTATCCATGTATTGTTTGGTGAGATCGGGTCAGGTGCAGACCAAACGTTGCACCGACATGCAGAGGACTCATAATATTCATTGAAAAAACTATCATTATTCGAGAGAAATCGATATCATCACATTTATTTGGTTCTTTTGCATTAGTGTCATAGAAGTATCTACTTCATTTTTTTCCCCGATGAATGGCCAGGATTTTGTTCATCAAATACGATCAACAACAAGTTTATAACCTGACAACAACAAGCTTACAACTCAACAAACCAACAACACTGCTTTCCTACCACACAACTACACATCTATGATTTACAATATGACCTTCAGCCACTTATCTTATACCACAAAGAAAGACTAGAAACAGACTCTGCAATTTTTGGGTCTCCAGCTTCCTTAGCTTCCATCACACTCTGCATCTTCTTTGTGACCTCTACAACTCTCAATTGCTTACCTCCATAAAGCCTCCTGCACTGTTCCCTCCAGATCTCACTCAACACCAAAGCATTATGCCAACCAAACACGTTTTGAACCTCTGATTTGCTACATTTACTACCTGCTGCAGTGTTCTGGAAACTGGGAATGACCATGACGCTGGGAACACAACAACCCAAACTTCCTGCACATATTTACACAGAAAGAAAATATGGCTCCTTGACTCTGGTTTTTGTCCACAGAGAGGAGACTTTAGTTCTACCTCTGGACTCCAACGTTGCACTACATCAAGAGTTTTTATTCGGTCTATCATAATCAACCATGTAATTGTCGAATTCTTAGGAATGCCACTCTTCTACACTAGTTTAGACCAGCTCACAACTTCACTTTTAGGTCTGATACTATGCCATATCCTGCTAATCTGGAACCTAGGCATCTTCTCTCCTTCCCAATCCACCCCTTGATTTGTCTTGCACATTTTCCCCGAGAACTCTGCTCTTAACTTGAGTATTTTATTCCATACCCAAGAACCTCTAGTGCTCACATCCCTGATACTCAGATTCCTTAGTCGATATTCCTTTATCCAAGCAATCCAAAAGGTATCTTGACCAGCAAGAACTCCCCAAATATGACGAGCTAGACAAGCCTTATTCTAGGAATACAGATCCTTAAACCCCATACCACCCTCTGTTTTTGGTAGAGCTACCTGTTTCCAGGAGACTTTAGCTTTCTTCTTTTTTTCAAAATCACTCCAAAGGAATTGAGAGCAAAGAGATTCAATTTGCTTAATAACTTTCTTAGGAAAGAGGATGACATTGATCTAGAACTAGGTCATGTTAGCCAGGACTGACATAACCAGTTCAGCTTCCCTGCATAAGTCAATAGCTTAGGCTGCCATCCCATAATCCTCGCAACGATTCTGTCTACCAAAGACTTGCAGTCAAGTGAGGAAAGTTTCCCTACATTCAAAGGGAGACCTAAATATCTGACAGGTAAGATGCCTTTCTTGAATCGAGAATTTTGTTCTAACTCAGCTTTCAGATTAACAGGTACCCCCGCACTAAAAATTTCACTTTTACTTGGGTTGCACCTTAAACCTGACACCAAGTAGAACTTTTGAAGGATCTCTGCTACCACTGATACTCCTTCCACAGTTCCTTTTGTGAAAATTAGTAAGTCATCCGCAAAACAAAGATGAGTTAAGCTAATTTTGCTACATTGAGGGTGATAGGGTAAAATAGATCGAGAGGTTGCTCTATTCAACATACAGCTAAGCACCTCCATACTAATAGCAAATAGGTATGGAGACAGAGGACACCCCTGCCTCAACCCTTTTTTGCTTGAAAATTTCCTATAAGTCCCCCATTAATGCAGACTGAGAAGCTTGTATAATCTAGGCAACCTCTTATCCAATTCACAAACCTTTCTGGAATCCCCATTGCTGTCATTATACAGATCAGAAAATCCCAGTCTACACTGTCAAATGCCTTCATAATATCTATCTTAAGGGCACATCTAGGGAGACATTCTTCCTATTATACCACTTCACCATTTTCATATGCTAGAACTATGTTATCAGTAATGAGTCTTCCTCTAATAAAAGTTGAGTGATTTGGACTAATCAGTTGTGGCAGAACTAGTT